GGTTTGGTGTTCTAATCATATTTTGACTTATTATTAACTTTGTTTATGAGGCAATTGCATGTTATTATAGATAATCTGTGCATTGTAATGGCACGTAGAATTTTATCATATGATTATCTATGAAATACTATATTTCTCCATTACGTAAAATTGATATTTTCACTAGTGAAAATAACATGTTATTTTCACTAGTGAAAATAACACATTCGAGGTTTCTCCATATAGCGGAAGTAAGAAAATAGGTATTTTACGACATAATTTGCTTTCATATCTAATTATATGATAAATAGAATTACATGGWCGCTTGGAGATACAGATTTTATCTTCTCGTGTYGAAAATCTCTCACTCGTTCGCTACGATCACTCGTGAGAGATCTTTTCAACACTYGAAGATAAAATCCGTATCTCCGCKCGGCCATGTAATATCCTCTATATATTTCATGATATCCCATATCCATGTACACTGTGATTATCCCATTGTTCCTTGACGCCTAATTGGAGTTACATATTCAGTGTCAATAAAAATATATACATTCTAAACTTTTAGTTCATAGAAATGTGTAACTTTTAACATTTGTTGTATCTAGAATGATTCCTCTCTGTTAAAGAAGAATTTCATATCTTATTGTTGATACAGCGTAGCGCGCCTGAAGCGCGCGAAGCAAGGTAGCAATCCTAATTCAGAAAAAAAAAATAATAAGCGATAGTCCGTTTTAGAGCTTACATTTTACAAACTGAGACTTTTTAGCCATGATATTTAATTCAAGTCTCACAAGTCAGTTGTAGAAGAATACTAATATTTGACTGCAATTTCATTGGCGAATTAATGTCGAACGTAATCGAAATAAGGGTTATGTTAACGGGGTTATGTTAATGGATTATGTTAAGGTGTTTCGATCGTAATAAATAGTGGTTTCGCGCGTATTTTTAAACTCCAACTACGTCGCAAATTTCGATTCAAATGCACTCAAACTTTCACAGAAGTCACATTGATTATCGATAATTCTTGTTGATAAATTAATT